TGCCCGTGAAGCAACGTTTTTAATCAACATTGCAGCAACATAAATCCTGAAACGTATCTGCAACATGTATGTAATGAATAAGTAGCGATTTGCAACGTAAATGCAATGTTCCTTCGCAACATTTGAGCAACGTTGACGTTTTGGACATTTACACATAGATGCAACATTGTTCATCAACATTTCCTAAACGTTGCTGGAATATCTTGTGTTACTTGGGTAGCCTAGTGCCCCTCGTATGTTGCTGCAATGTTGATTAAAAACGTTGCTTCACGGGCACCTAATCTGGGCCTATATTGGCAATACGGAAAAGCGTAGGCTTCACTGGTCCTGAACTGGACCGATATTCAACCAATATTAAATTATTTCATCTTTCGTACCATCCTTTCGCCCGTACTGGTTTTACCCTCTACCCATGCATAATACAGTATCTGTATCATGTACAGGCAGGAAACAGTACATTTTTGGTGGTGATCTTCCCTTGGATGTGATAAGTTGCACAATACAGGTAAATGTTCTATGGAGTGGCCAGGAGATCAATCCTTCGTTTCCTCAGCTAGTGCCCAGGATGAGGATATGAATTATTGAGATCGCAGACTCTCTACCATCATTTTTATTGCCCTGTAGGATGAATTCCACGAATTTTTGGAAAAGGATTCTTCTTGGGAATATGAGCTTATTTTATCTTGACCCCATTAATCTGTCTGGAAAATGAAGATAAAAGGTGATGAAGTGTCCGTGTTCATTGATTCCTATAATGAGACAATTAGGTTCTAAAAAAAAATATTGAACTCATCAGTTCAATATTTTTTATTATAAATAACACTATAAGCTCATCAGCTTATAGTGTTATTTATCCATGAAAGTCCAAATTCCAAAGATTCCCTGTGTACAAGAATAGAAGTTTTACATCTGAACAATAATCTTGTTCCCTGATAGCTAATGTATGCAGATTGCAGGTGCAGGTTAGCCTGCAGAGAAGAAAACTGCCAAATTTTAGAAAATCTCAACGAGTAAATCCAATTCAATAGCTTATTTTAAATTAAGGTATTGAAAATTGCAATAAATTTCTCAATAATATGTGAGCAGTGCTGACGCGGTGAAGTTGTTTCAGGCGAGTCTCTCCTTCCTTTGGACAATCTATATTACTTCGATATAGATATCCTATAGATATATCCTAATTTATATTACTTCGATATGTGCCAAAGGCACATATCGAAGTAATATAGATACCATACTCAGGTAGTCACGTTAAGCAGCAAAACAACAAAAAAACACATTAATATGGGAAACACTACATAATGACAATGTACCATCAAGACCGTCCCAGAAAAACACTTATGTATTATTAGTAAGGAAAATGGAATTGATTTCAGCAACCTGTACAACCTTAATTAGAATATAACTAGCTAGTACTGGCACGTCACTTCTCATGCACAAAGCCCTTGATGGCCTACATAAACACGTCGGTGCCTATCTCGGGAAATAGGTCTGACACCGTAAGGTTTGAATCCTTGCTCCTATTTATGCGAGCCGAAAACACCTTTCTGCTTGTTTGATGCGACGAAATTCGAGTGCCTTTCAGCCATTGTCTTACTTGCTCGAAGTCGAACGCTCCTCATGGAATACTTCCTGGTAGATCGGCTGAAGTAATTGCGAACACTGATGGAGTAAGCATAAAAAACATTTACTGCAGATACTTCCACCGTCCAGCATTGAATTGACCGTCCAGCGTTGGCCCAATGGCAAAAAGGACTCCACGTTTCCCCAAGATTTCCTATCGTGGAAGTGTTGTGATAACTAACCAGTTGATAGCTACAAAACTTTGTTATACCCTTGCATGTATCGAACCTGGCTTCCTCTTAAAACTCTCTTAAAACTCATTTTAATGGCTTCATCCGGTATATCTTCACCACAAGCTCCTCAAAGGTGGACAAAACCTTGTCTCCCTTGAAGCTAGGAGACTCTTTTCGCCTTTTTTTTTGTAAAACGAGTTCTCACCATGACAAGCAGACATCCATCATGACACCCTTATTTATTTTTGTTTGTTTTTTATTTTATTTCTTGCTCAGCTTGCGACTTCCCTTCCAGAAGTCAAGGGGTCGTAGCAGTAAACTTCACCACCCATCACAAATGAAACAGTTCCTACATACAGTACATTACAGAAACAGCAACACTGGTTTTCTCTAAACCTCAGTTGAAAGTCTGCGGTTTCTTCTCCCCACCTCCTTTATTTCCCTTAAAACTTAATCTTTTTCTCCAAGCTTTTTTCCATTTCACAGTCTGCTGTTTGGGAAGTAACCAACTTTAATACATTACAAGATATGCACAAGAGTACCTCATGGATAAACCCAGACACCACACCAATTAATGGAAGAATAAAGCCCAGGATACACAGACAGATCTCCATGAACTTATACACTATTAGGAATAAACTTTCTCCAGCTAAAACAACACAAAACACTAAATCCTGCTCCATTTTCCCAATACAACTCCCAGACAGAAAATACCCCGTTCATTTAACCTTTTAACTCGGGAAAGGATGTATGACCTTTCATACAATAATTAGCTTCATCTACTACAAGAAAAGCCCACACACCATGTCCAATGCTTTCTCCCAAAAATTTGTCCCCATTTGGAAATTATTTTACCAGCTCCCCACAGAAAAAAAGATGGTGATATCAACTGGAGACTTCTACACAATTCGCTAGTATCCCCCATTTTGAAGTAAAAAATGAACAGCAACTCTTCTCCATTATGTCCTTCAAGTGGCAATCTTTAATCCATATGTTTATTGAATGTCCCTCTTTAAAGGAAATGAGCGTATATATTTAAAATTTTTTGAAAATGATCCATGCTGACATAACCCTGAATGTTAAATTGTTCATTTTACACATTTTTCCAGAACGTACTTCCCCTGCAAAATCTGAAAACTCTCATTGATTTTTTCTTGACCCTCGCCAACAGTAAAATTTACAAATCATATATATTTGTAAATTTTCATATCATACCTTTCAGAGATACAGAATCGTGAGAATCCATTCTTTTCAGAGACGCAATGAGGAAAAAAGTGCAGCAATCCTACAACCTCCATTGCATCATAGAAAAACGTACAACATACTTCACAGACACCTGTGGTTCTATCTGGATGGAGACGGAGACATGGAAATGAAATTTTAAAGACATTTCATTTCATCCATTTTATGTTTATGCTTAATATGCTTTATGCTTAACCTGCCTTCTGCCTGAGCTCCTGGGCCAAAATTTGCTAATAATGGTATACAATGTTTGTGCAAATATTTATAGTTGAGATGAGATTGATGCTTTGCATGCAAATAGCAGGATGACGTACCTTCATTTTAACGCCAGAATTCTTTCTTTGTGTGCCAATCAGGCAATACGTCATTTCTCTCTACCACCGGTAAAGTGGTGGTGAGGGCTCAAAGGGTTAAATGCAGTCACCTATTGAAGGCTCCAGCAATATTGGGGCTATCCTACTCACATAGCAAGCAGAGGGCCAAAAAACAAGGCGGTTCAATAAGATCAATTCTATGATAGCTCCTTCTTGTCCTTCTGTCCTTTACAGATACACAAAATGTGGCAAAATGCTGTCCATGATTGTTTACATGATTGCCATTTAGGGGATAATTACAGAGCAGCAGTGATCACACAGAAGCATTCCAAAGCTACACAACTCAATTGCTGGATGCACCCACTGTTGAAGTGTTTGTGTTAATGAGGTCTTCACTTAACCCTTTAATGTACAGTACTTCAGACATAGAAAGTGCACAGTAATTCACTCAAATAAAAACATGAAAATTAAAAAATTGCATAAAGTGGCTTGAAATACACATTTTTAGTTTTTTAAGTTTTAAACAAACATGTATAGTGCTTAGGGGAAGTAGGAAAATACATCCCATGGTGCATATAGATATATGTATGTTCAGATATAATAAATTTAATATTTATACAAATGTCTTCATAATCTAGGACAATATGAAATAAGATTTATTATAGTAATTAAATATGATAGAATACATGTTCTATGAGAAGAAACAAGAAAAACTGCCTTTCTAAATACTGGTAAGTACTTTAAGGCATAGCAGTTATGCCATAACTCAATATATAAATTGGTAAACAAAGAAAATTTCATAGTATCACCAGCAACAAAACTTTTTTGACCTTCAAAATTCTTCCACTAGATGGCTACACCAATAGTAAGTGGGAACATGATTCCCACTGCATTTTATGCTCCCTTTCATTTACTGGGAAGTATACTTCTTGCTGTTCTGCTCTTATGGGTTAAGGAAAATTGTACATATCCTGTCTATATTATTGGTCCTGCTCAATGGAAGAAAGTCCTCCTTGTCCTAGCCTAGTTTTTGCTAGCGATTCAGAGCATCACTATGGCCTTGTCCACCCCATACAATTTTTTCAGCAACTTTTCTTTACAAGTCAACTTTGGAATAAAACATTTTTAGCAATGATGTCTTTGAAACTTTCCTTGAGAAAAATTTTTTTTTTCAATAATCTTTCATTATCTATGCAAGAAAACTTTCTTGTAAGGATGAGAAAAATAAGGAGCTCTAATGATCTGGTTCATATCATATCAGAACCTTAATTAATTAACTTCTCCATTCCACTTTTTTCCACCACCACTGTACTTTGATTTTGTGCTAAAATGTGTGCTTTTGAAATGGTTTGTACATTGATCCATGGCAAATTTGTCTGCAGCAGGTACAAACTAAAAGTCAAACCTGGTACCTATACCACCATGACATTAACCTTCATCATTTCTTCTTTAGTAACAGATCTCTTCCACCTTACTTATTTTAGCTTTTACCCTTGGATTTCCCATTTCAATTTGCACACTTTAACAAAAATAATTTTTCAATATGCCATATAGGGCAGTGGGCAGCAAGCACAGCTGACCTTTCTTCAATAACTCCATCTCCTTTCTGTTGTCCTCAGCTCTTTTCTTCATCTCTTGCTCCTCAGTTCTGATACGTGTCACCTGCTGATACAGGATATCTCGCTTCTCTCGCATTTTCTTCTGTTGTTCTCTCAGTGCATCCACTTCATCCTGCCACAAAAAAAGGGAAAAAGGATCGACTTGGGAACATCAATAAGAATTACTATAGAACCCCCAGTGAGGATATAGAGTAAAAAAGGTTCTTTCATTTAAGGCCATATTGATATTCTATAAATTACTTTGATAAGCAATAAAGCTTCCAGTTTGGCTTCCTAGCAAGCATCCAGAATTCATCTACAAAAGGGTAAAAAATAACATGAAAAAATTCTACAAAAAGTACATACTTCAACCACCATTGGAAATGCTTTAGCCTGAAAGACACTATGGCAGAACACAATCAATATCTCTCTTTAAACACCAGAGAGAAATTCCATATCTCTGAATTATATGACCTACGATAAAGATCTTCAGACAGAAATTCAATCAGCAAAACCTATACTCACATAATATTTATTACATGGTTGAGTGAAATGCAGGGAAAGTTTAAAGTCCTTGATATTAGATTATTATTTGCTTAAATATATGATGGGATCCTAGAGATTCTGCAGTTTGGACTGCATTTTTCCCTTTCTACATCAATGACAAATGAAAAATGGTGGAGCCCATGGCTACAAAGGTGAAAATAAAATGGAGAGCTTGGGTAAAAAATTTTTTTTGAAATAACACTTATCTAAGTCAAATTCAAATAAGAAAATACAATAACTCATAGAATGTTCTAAACTTTAATGAAAAATCTCCATGGAAGATGCTATAAAAGTGACAACGACCTCAACAAAGCTGTATAGGAATTTATTATGACCAAGAAAAGTAATTATTTTTGTAATGGGATTTATACCTTGCTCCATTGATGGCAGAAGGGTGATGATGCCCAGGAGGATTTTATTAAAAAATAAAAATTTGTGAGTCTAAAAAGTTTACCTAATACCTCAGAACAGAAAGTTTTAAATTCTCTCTCTTAGATTGTGCAAAATTAATGAGGCACAGTGAGGGCCTTGGGCATCTCAAGTACTAGATATCTGTGTAATCAACCGATAAAAAGCTGCCTTCTAACAGGCCAGACAAAAAAAGTTACTTTACTTCAAATTATGAGACACTTTTCAAGTCAGTTAGTGAAATGCCCTATTTGATGATAAACCTGGTGGGCATCTGAAAATTATGCATGTACATTAAAAAAAAACAAAGATGTCTAAAAGTCAATCTAAACTTATTCATCATTTTATCCATCACCTTTGGAAATTCATGCATCTTAGCATCCATCTGCAGCACCTACCCTAACACCTTTACATGGGCTATGTTTTCATAGCTTAAAACAAGATGAACAAATTGTGATGAAAGAAATGTTTGAGATACATGTCTAACATGTTTATATGACATATATGACATTTTCTATTTGCTTCTATTCCTCCTTAATAAAGAGGGTTTCTTCTGCACTTAGGAGGTCCATATGACAAGTAATCAAGCAGATGGCACCAAACTCACTTTATCATCTAGGTTAATAGCCATTCTTGACATTCTGTAAAAACTGAGCCTGTCTTTCCATTATAGTTCACTTGCTGCAGCTATTCTATTATTATATCCTCTCATTTTGGTATGGCTTATTATTGTGAAAGAGCAAGAAGTACTAGCGAAGTTGTAAATGTATGAAGACCTGCTCTAGTAAACATACCTTGTATTTCATGAACTCACGAAGGACCCGCCTTGAACGGTTGAGCTTGTCTATCTCTGCCACAATCTTTTTCTCTTCCCTGAGTGAGAAGTTGTGATTCCTTAACTGCACTTCTAATCGATAGATGGCCTCAGCTATCTTATCTTCTTGTTTGTACTGAAGCTGGCCTTGAATGTGCATCATTTGGTCACGCTGTAACACATCAGAATACCAGGTAAACCTCAAATCAATAGAAGACTTTCATTTCTGTCTCTAACTTTCTTTTACAAGCCAAGGAACAGTTAGTCCTCACTTTAGTATTTATCACAGGAGATAGGGTAGCTAGTTCTTCAACCACAGTCTTCTCTTTTTTGAATGCTTCTTCCTTCTCTGCTCTCAGTTCCTTCAGCTTTTTTCCAGGGCTCTTCCAGTCATTCAACTGGCCCTAAGCAAAGACATTCAAAGAATCACCAGAAGGAACAATTGCATCTAATACTTATATGTAGTCCCATGTTGTCAGATAAAAAAAAACGAAATTCTTGTACTTAGTTAAAAATTAAGAGAACCTAAGCATTCTAAGGTAAATAACTTGAAAATGCATGCAATTTGAGGTATCTTCAAAGAGACAAGGTCTTTGTACTGTATAAATATTATTTGGACTGGATCTTAGTGCTGAAGGATTGCAGAATGGGGCAGCAGGGTAGTATGGCTTTAGTTTAATTTTCCACCATGTAGTCAAATTCTTTATCATGGAGCTACCACCAAAACTACAGTACAGGATAATAGCAATGATGCAAAAACAAAATTTTTGGGAATGGAGTAAAAAAAAATCTATATTTTGGAGAGATTGGAGAGAGGCCATGACAAACTTTCCCAATCAATATTTCAATAATAGCTCTGGTAGTTGCTGGGATGGCAAATATTGGTAACAGAGGCAAGGTCCTAAATATCAAGGCTTCTAGAGTTTCTAGTAACAAAGTGATCTGAAAAGGAGGTTACCCATACAGAAAGATCCTATATGGCAGCTATATGCAGTTACCTATGTCATACATATTAATATATTTTCCACATATGGATATATGAAGCTACATTTATAAGAACATATGTGGTTAAAGCACATGATCCAAGTGAAGCTTATTCATGCATCAAACACATATATTCAACATATAAGATTCATCAAGTTTGAGGGATGAATTCCTGCATATATGATTTTGTATACTGCAAAAAATATATAACGTATAATTATATATTATCTTTATATGTGAGTATATGAGCAAGATTACTTTAAAGATTCATAATTTTTATTCAAATGTAGGCTAAATTTGTAAACTCATGAAGTCCATGTTCCATTGTAGCAACTGTACCAGCAAAATTTCCTGAAGTCAAGGTGTCTGAGATGTCTCAACCCTCAATTAAAAGATGGCATAGTAGTTAAGTTAAAAGAAGAGGAAAAGCATGTAAGATGAACAAGCTCATTATCCCTAAATGAAAATTTAATTGGCACCCACACAGAGAATCTATAGTGATTACTTTCATTTTTTCATATTCATCCGAAAGTGATTATACAACTTGCACAACTTGATGGTATATAAATTTCTAGTAGACAATTGTACATTTTTTTTGCATAGTATGAAAATAAAATGGACATTTTTGTCTACTTATTGCAACATGCTTCATTTTCAGCAAAACAGGAAGGTGGTTTTTGTACTTTCAATGTCATTGAAGTGACATACGAAGAGCCACTTTTCAGCATAGTTCCTGAAGTGATTTGTGACATTTGAAGAAGATTTGCAAGGATGACATTTATGCATTTCATACTTGATCAGGTGATAACTCCAATCAGGAATTACACATACAAAATAGATGTATAGTCATATGAATATATTATCTGCTGCTCCATATCTTTAACATACATGCCATTCATTAAGTTCAAATAAGGCTCTGCCATATATGATTAATGTTTCAATAAGATATGACCATATATTTTTTCTCTGATATGTTCATATATTATCATATATGATGGACCATATATGTCACACATATCATTTATGCCTATTTCTCATGAAGCATTTTTCTGTATGGGTAGCTTCTCCCTGACAATTTCTCTGAGTCAATGATGTTACCCATAGCTAAGGGCAACAAACATCATGCAAAGAAGCTCACTAAGCAGAAAATTAGATTATACATGTTTCAACTACCTGATATGCATACAGGGTATCAACAAAGAAGCATATCATAGATGCTGTACTTGAATTTTCATGTAAAGGCCCTATGGATGCCATAAATTGCACAAGTAAATTCAGTAAAAATGAGCACATAATGCAGCAAATGACACTTACTATCTTTGATTCAAGCTGCTGAATTCCTGTCTCTATTCTTTGCAGCTCTCTCTCGAATAGGTTACGATTCAGTGAGCAAATTTTTCCATTCTTTGTTGTGGCTAGTAACATCAGGCCAGCAGTAAAATCCTTCTGTTCTTCATATTTCTTGTCCCCAGCAGAACCATGAGATGACATTTTTCAGATTGTAATATCTTTCACACTTCTGAACTGGCTTCATTTAGACCAGGAAATATAAAGGTCTAAGACTCACTGCCCTGGAAGAGACAAGATTGACATGGCAGGCATATGACTGAGAGTGAAAATCTGTTAACAATGCATACACACAAGAGCATACATAGTCCATCCTTCCTACCAATCTTTGAGAGACCAGGACTCAGTATGAACAGTAAATATCCCTGGTGTAATCAAATCAATTCCATTTTTAAAACAAAGTATAAGCCTATTCAAGTCTTTCCTCAGATAACATTTGCATCAGCTAGTTATAGAAATTAAGAAGGGATACAAATTTCTGAACTTCTGTTTGACTTAAAAGGAGAAGAAATAAATGCATCAACTTAACATTGTTTTTCTTGCTCTCATTTTCTTAGATCTTTTTGCATAAACCTTTTTATGTTCACTTTAGTCTGCCAAACCTCCCCCATTTTTATTCTAGACATAGGTCCTGCTTAAAACTTTTGGAGCAGAAGCTATGCTAGTTACCAGTATCAAAGGATTCTAGGCTCTAGCACTAGTGATGTGTCATCCCTGTACCTTTTACCCAGTTCTCCATTTTTTTCTGAACAGCCTTATTCTATTTTCTCCAGCCCTGTTTCCTTGACAAATGCTGCATACTATTTAATATTCCTCAGTTAACATCTTATCAAAAATACTTAACTCTTCTTAGAAACAAAGCCAGACAGCCAACCTGCAACCTCAACAATACACTTCCATGGTGATAGCCATTCAATAACCATGACTGGATGGAATCACTGTGTAAGATCCATATGGCTCAAGCCAAACCACATGTCTATGCCCCAACCAAAACATGGGTGGGTAAATTCTGATATTTTCTCCCATGCATCTCAAATGAGATTACACTTTCTTGATTTCATTCATAATGATGAATAAAGTAAAAAATAAAATAGATGACTGATCATCTTCTTGAGAGACTTGAAGGCCCACTGGGGTAAAGCTCCATTCTACAAGTGTTTTCCCCTTGACTTCAATACCCATGCATTATTAACATCCTATGCGCAAGTGTCCAAGCCAAGAGAAAAATAGCCTGACTCAAGTGAAAAACACTGTATGTCCTACAAGTTTATGACAAACCGACCAGGCTCCACGCCTGCGTTACATTAGGCCTACTAACAGAAATGGCAAAATCCACCTAAACATTGCTCTCACCTGCAAGTCCACGAAAAAAAAATGTATAGTCAAGATAATCTAAACGTCGACCATGGAAAGACTGCAACGAAGTCAGTTTAAGCCTAGGCCTTACGGGTACGGCAGAATTGTTGAAATTATGAGTGCCATGGAAATTGTTAATAAAATTGCCACTTTCACTACAACACTCATATATAACATGTACTTTCATCTTGTCCTCGACACTTCATGTTACTATGTTCAGCAGATATTCCCCTGTACACCCATAGGCCTTTGACTTCAATGTCGAATAGAAAACACAGAAACTAGGCCTATTCATATGGGACTAGTGAAAGCGATACAGTCACGAAAGGACTACCGCAACGAAACCTCACGGAGATTCTGAGAATTGACGACAGGAACAGAGGCCTACGGCCAACCTTACGGGCTCGATGCAGACACACTGACGTCTTCCCGTAGAGTTCTCCGCGGGCCGAGTTTTTCGACCCGACCCGATCGGCCTTGACAGTCTTCCTGTCAGAGCCCGACCTGAAACCAGTTTCCCCATGACAAAAAAGCTAATAAATCCATCACATTAGCCATGGGTATTTTCTTTCTACACTGTTTTGCCTCTACACTGTTTTCGGATTGACTTCGTAGCCTCCCCCCCTCCCCTCCTCCCGCTGAGGAGGAAGGAAAAAACACTACATAGGATCTGCTTAATTAGATGATCTACGAAAGCACTCATCTGGAAGCTGTCACTATTTGCAATCGGTGGAAGCCCTCCTCTGAGGTCAACGAATTTAATCCGAAAACACGACAGCATCCCATGACGTCATATTAGTGCTGGCCTCACAGCCCGCTATGATCCTCTAGCAGCTGCTTCCGGAAGAGTAGCATACTTTAATGACGAGTCAAGCCCTGACGGTTTGCGGTGTCCTTTCTTCCAGCAGCTGTAAGCGGTTGGAGGAAAAAAAAAAAAAGCATCTCTAGCAGGATGGCAACTGAGGATATAACCAGGGACGTAGCCAATGGGGGTGTCCTGGGTGTCTGGACAACCCCCGAAATGAAGCAAGATATCACAAGACAAGGAGTGGAGGGGGTGAAAAATTGTACATATATTGTACAACTGAAGTTTCGACTTGTACTCCTATTCCACCTTCTGAATACAATCACTCTTAACCAATACAGTGCCCCCCCCCATTTTGCTTCCATTGCTCTACCAGTTTTTTTTCGTTCCAGTAGCAAACCATGATTCAGGAGTAGCTTTCACCCACTAAATTATGACTAATTCAAGGTCAGTCCTTGACCCATATTTTTCCATGCAAAAAAAAAATTGAAATTTTGGAAGGAGAAGGGGCTATTTTGAACTATGGTGGGGTTGAAGTCTCAAAAGGGCTTTCGAATTTTCCTCATTCTTCCCAACCAATCACCTTCCTCGGCCACTTTGTCATCTCATGAGCCTGAAAGAGCCTCAGAAGACACTCTCCGAAAGTAATTCCTGGCTTCGTCCCTGATAACGATGACTTAAGCTCACAAGCGCCGACGCTCTGTCAACTTTGTGGACTTCCTAGCTGAAAAGTTACATAAACGGTTGTGATTCAGTAGCAGTTGGAAGGTTATGGACAGGCACATATCATCTCGCGAAAAAAATTAAAAGGCAGACATTTACCCGTAAAATAAAATAAACAAAAACAACCAAACAAGAAAAGTGGGTTCTGCGGGAAAGCGTAAATTGAAAATGAATGGATGTGAATGAGAAGGGTAGTAGTGAGAGAGGCATATAATGAAAAACTGGGGGGTGAAATTCAGAACCAGTCTCTTTAGGTAGGCTGCTTTAGAAACTCTCAGGCTCTTCAGTAAAAGTTAAGCCAATATAGTTACTCTTGCAATTATCTGCGACGTGTGTCTATCGATTCTCCTAGATTTATAGCTGCAAATGTCAGAAACCTAACGGTTCAAAAATTCTTTCACTAAAAAATCAATTTTTAATGAGTAACCTTGAAAAGAACGCGCTGGATCAGTTTATTATATTTGATCTGCTTACTTCAATGGAGCCATTCGGTTCCCGCTCTCAGCCATTTTTTTTCTTTCTGGATCATCATATCTCCGAAGCGATTTTTTGGCTTCAAATGAGAAATTCTGCCTTTTTACCACGAAGTTGAAAGCACAAAAAAGCAGGGTTTCTTCCGAAGTTTTGATGTACTCACTTTTAAAAAGTTTTCCTTGTAACACAGAGTCTTCCGTGAAACTGCTGCGTTGTGGGGGCAGCTTTTTCAATTTATAAGGACCTTTCACAGTCCATTGAGTTTAACGGTTTCTTGGATTGGTATTTGGCTAATATAGACTTTCCAGCGTTTTAGATGAATTTCCGCTTTTTCAAGTTCCGCTTTTGCTAGCATGCGGAAAGCGAAAAAAATTCAGCTATGAGTAAGGATGACTCTGCCCGAAAAAGAAAAACATGTTATCAGAAAGAAAAACACCGCGTATTTTCCGCATTTTTTCCCATGAAGCAAAGCATGCAGAATTTTTCTATTCGATATCCGGAGTGAATAACGCGACGGCTGTCCCATGCAATATTTCCCCATCGTCGTATTGCTCGTATTGTACAGGGTGGACCAAACGTCCCTGTGTGCCTCGAGTCAACTATGTCTTGCATGCGAATTGCTACTACAAAACATCGCATTGGATTGCAGTTTGAATACCTGAGGTTAACACTTTATTCAGTTTATTGCTTCTTCCCGCACGTATCCTTTGAGCTCATTCAAAATCTTTCCTCTATTATGTTTACTTCGTTATTACTGCCAGCGGCGTACGCGAGGGAAAGGGAGAGGGGGGCGGGGGCAGGGACTGAAGCTCCCCCAAATTTGATTCATGTCCCCCAGCTTTGGTTAAAATGCATCCACCACCTCTCCCCCCTTCACCCTTGGCGAAGTCCTGGTCCACTGGTTGCTGCACACTCGCTCTCTGATTTAAACCGTATTGTTCCAGGTCCAAGGAAGGCCGTCAATTTCCACTTGAAAAAAGTAGGAAAAAAGTATTTGGTATTTTGGTATATTTCAGTATAAATAGGCTGTCAGAAATTGCAGAAATCGTGCTTTTCTGGAGTCCGCGTCCTGCCGTCCTCAAATTGGCCCGACGCGTCCTTCACCCACGGAAAGTTGGCCCGTTCCGGCTATCGCTAGATGGCACTTATTCCTCGCCACACCGACGTGTCACCTCTAGCCTTCTAAGCCTTGTTTGAGAGTATTCAAATATTCCTGGCATCTGGGTCGCAGCTTACCCATGTGTGACGAGGCAGAGAAGAAAGTGATTGAACCCGTGGGTTTTGCAATATTCTTTTCCTCGAATACTGATTAGGGTAGAGGCTCTATTGCGAAAGGAACCACTGAGTTTCATTCGTATCGTCTTAAACTTGGGCAGAATATAGGCTAATCCTGGTATAGGCATACAAGTCGGTTCTTTTTTTTTTCAAGGAATGTCTCGGGAAGTGACTGGATTTTCCGGAATCCCAGGAGTAAGAATCTCGATTTTCCTCTTTGCTTCATCTGGCATTCTGAGAATGTGCTCATAACCGCTTCAGGAATGCCCGTTGCTGAAGACCACGAAGTGGAAAAAGTGCCAGAAATACTTCGCTTGCCCCAAATAGAAAGAGGATAAAGCGTTGAATTTTCTATTCGTGCATCGGAAGAAACCGGAAAGAAAAAAATGTACAGCAACTTCGTCGTGGAAATGCGAAGAGCCTGTCGGTGCATTGGATCTGGGCTGACTTGATCGATATCCTCGCTTCCCGTGCCTCTTGGGAACTCGTCCGCACTCGGGTTTCCTCGAAAACTCCGACACGCAATTGAGGTTATCCCGCATGAGCCAGGCTCGAATGGAAATCGTAAATCATTTTGTGTGAATTTTTCATATGCCT